GCCACAGGCGCCAAGCCTGTTTTTTTTTTTTTTATTTTAGCTTAGTTTCAGATTAATGTGAGGGTACAAACGATTAGGTTACAATGTTTGCATTCATTAGGTAAAGTCCCTGTTGTAGGTGTGTCCTGCACCCAGGAGGTGTGCCATCCACCCTTATATTGTGCCCGTTAGGTGGGAGACACCCATCCCCCTCCCTCCTTCCTTCTGTCTCTTTCCCTCTCTCCCCCTCCCCCTAGTTGGCACTGAATTGAGTTTTTCTCTTGTGTGGCCCAAAGCTCTAATTTTTATATGGAGAGTAATAACAACGTACATTTAATTTGCTTAACACTTTATGATTTATTTATATTTGACTATGTAATTTAATTCATTTACACGTTACATTCAGATATCCTAGATGTCATCTACCTTTATATTTTCTTCATAACTAATGTCGTAACCCACCTATCTATCTACTTGTCTGTCCAGCTGTTGTAGAAAAAAGTGTCATTACAGAATTTTAGTGCTAACTTATTATGAGGAAGAGATGAAGACAAATTTGCTTAATACTATTAACTCAGGCCTTTCCCAGTATTTGCTCATCCCCTCCCTACCTGTTTCCCCTGCTACCATCTTGTCTCTGCCACTTTGGTCACATGATATCAACCCAACCTGCTAAGTTTTTCCTACAGCATTTGCTACCTTAAATTACTGCTTTCCCACTTTTCCATGTCACTTGTCTACTGCCCTGTGGGTGTTCACCAAGGAGGACCTGGGGCCACCCCCTCTATCGCTGGTGAAATCTGATTTTGCTGCTGCTGAACCAGAGAAAGGCAGACCTTACCATGCTCTTCTTGTCAGCCTTCTGGATGGTGTACCCTGTGATGGCAGCATTTCCGTCATCCTTGGGTGGTGTCCATGACAGAGCGACGTTCTCTCCCCAGACATCGTCAATCTTCACAACTTGGGGTGGACCCGGACGGTCTATTGAATGAATTCATGGGGTCACTGTGAGTCACTTTCCCTCCCAATCTACATACCTTGTTACAAGAGGACATTTTTAAATGTGCTGCCTTGTATTATAGAAAGACTCTTCCAGACTCTACCACAGGGGTTTCTGACACCCTGTGTCTTCCATTAGAATGAAGCAGGGCCAGATCCAAGGGCACGGAATAGCCTCAATATACCTTTCAACTTACCAAAAATCAGAAAGGTTTAGCCAGTGGGAAAAGACGGCTTAGTTGAAAGGGAATGACCCAAGGGGAGGTTTGCCATGGGAAGTTACCCCTTTAGTTAGAGAACATCAAGTTTGAGCAAATTTACTGAAGTAAAATGATAAAAATGATCAGGAAAAAAGGCTTCTCCTAACTCTGCTCTTAACTTCATTTCTTGACATTGCAAAAGTTATAGTATAGTTCAAGCAATAGGCCTCCATCTGTGAAGGATCCTCCACCCTATTCCTCTAACTTCTGGCAGAAGGAAGAACTCAGGTTGTTTATTCTTTTCTTTTTTTGAGACAGAGCCTCAAGCTGTCGCCCTGGGTAGAGTGCTGTGGCATCACAGCTCACAGCAATCTCCAACTCCTGGGCTCAAGCGATTCTCCTGCCTCTGCCTCCCAAGTAGCTGGGACCACAGGCACCCGCCACTCGGCTATATTTTGGTTGCAGCCCTCATTGTTGTTTGGTGGATCCGGGCTGGGTACGAACCCGCCAGCTCAGGTGTATGTGGCTGGCGCCTTAGCCGCTTGAGCCACAGGTGCCAAGCCACATGTTATTTATTCTTTGGTCAGGTATGTCTAACTAGTCCTAGAGGAACAACTGAGTTAGTGTTTAACTGTTCAACTTTGTTTAGGGACCTCTTCCTTACTTTTACTAAAAATTCTCCATTCTCCATTTAAACTTTATTGTTAGTGCATTTTAGGTGTAGTAAGAAACGTGGATCTAGAATCTATAGTGTTTTTAATCTAACATGGGGACAGTCTTATCATTAGGGAGCAGAGAAACTAAGAATAAAAGAGAGCTGGGTTGTGAAGTAGTACTCATGAAATTCACTAAAAAGTACATACAGTATATTCATTTTCTTAAACATGTGTGCCCAAACCTCCCATGATCAGTCTTATTAGTCAGTGGAAATTTATTTTGAAATGGTAACAAATTTTTACAAATTGATACATTAAAAAAAAAAAGACCAACAAACCTAAGGTGGGGCATGGTGGCTCACACCTATAATCCTAGCTTTCTGGGAGGCCAAGATAGGTGGGTCAGCTGAGCTTGGAAGTCTGAGACCAGGCTAAGCAAGAGTGAGATCCTGTCTCTATTAAGAACAGAAAAACTAGCCAGGTATTGTGGTAGGCGCCTATAGTCCCAGCTCCTCACGAGGCTGAGGTAAGAGGATCATTTGAGCCCAAGAGTTTGAGGTTGCTGTGAGCTGTGACGCCACAGCACTCTGGGTGAAAGAAACTGTTTCAAATTAAAAAAAAAATTAAATAAATAATAAAAAGCAAATCTGAAAAAAGAATTTTAGATAGAGCCAGTCTAATAAAAATTCCTACTGTCGCCTTAACAACAAGGACAGTAATTCCCCACACTTTCTGACAGAATGTTCTGGTTCTTTCCTCTGAACCTACCCACGATCTGGATGTCGATCAATGCGCTGTCCACATATTTGTCCACTTTGACCTCCAGGTCGTATTTCCCAGAGTGGCTTCTCTCTGCTTTCCTGATAAATATGATCGTGTCCGTCTCAGAGTTGCGAATGTTTATTTGATTCTTATCAATTTCTGCACCATCCTTCTTCCAAGTTAATTCTGGTCTCGGTTTTCCCTAATAAGACAAAAGACGTACACAAGGCAACTCACATTGCCTCCAGATATATTTGTAGCATTGCAAGAACAATCAGGGCTTAACCCATTCTAGGCAAGGTTGGCCAACACTGTCCTTCTAGTCTTGGGGACAATTACAAAAGGAAAGCTCTGCCTGCTGAGTGAATAAACATCACATTCCTACCTATGGAGGCCCCTGCAGGCAGCCCCCAATTCCTACCTTAGGAACATGATGTTTATTACTTCCCTTACTTCGTAAGTATCAATTTTTTCCTTTTTTGGATTGAGGAGTTAAATGATTTGCCCGAGGCCTTGCCACTAAGCAAGCAGAGGAACCATATCTCCAGCCGGGTCTCCGGGCTCCAAAGCCTGCACGATGCCGCAGAGTGGTTAACAGCACAGACTCTGCAACCCTGGAATCTATATTTGGTTCCTGACCACTTAACAGCTGTGTGGTCTTGGGAAAATTACTTAAACTCTCTGTGCTGTGGTTTCCCCATCTGTAAAATAGGGACAACAGCAGTACCAATTTCACAGGATGGCGATAAAGACAGTCCCGAGAAGGCTTCTGTCGCTACTGAAGTGTTTCATTAATATCATCTAAGTGCTAATGATGATGATTTCACTGTACCGAGCTGCTCATTTTTGATGTGTCTGAAATTCTCTCTGCTCTCTCTAGCTGCCAAAACTATTCTCAAAGAGTAGATTTTAAGAAATGGTCATCTCGTTCAGGGCATGAGTTTCAGCTACAAAGGAACTTCCTAGAATTCCTGAGCACCCTGGCTCACCCTTATAGACAGGAAGAATGTTTCAGACGTGGCGTGTGGCTAGGGCATGAGGAGGGCCGTGCAGCCAGCCACACACCTAATTCCTGCCCACAGAGCCTGAAGAATGGTTGGGAGTGATCTGCCTTGCACAAGGGAAGCAGAGAACAGTATCATTCTCTAATTTCCTTAAATGCACAACTAGCTATCAGCTACTGGGGGGAAATGCAGGTTCTCCAGTAACACGTGGAGTGGAAGACCGCAGTGGATGAAGTGTCAGGGAGACAGTGACTCTGCTGCTGGCTCACCATGTACTGTGTGTGACCTCAGTAAATTACTTAACCTCTCTGTCAATTTTCTCCCTTCTCTACCCCGGGGCTGGGGGGTGGTGGTGGAGAAATCTGCTCTTCCTGTCTCACAGGGCGTTTCTGAGGCTCAAATGAGAAAGTGTTTGAAAGCCTAAGAGGTTACGCAAATACGATACACACATACACACACACAGAGCTCTGCTCAAATCCAGGCTCCCAGCCTCAGAGGCATTGAGCATTTCGTACACGATGCATGGTATCAGAAAGAAGGCCAGGAAGTCTGTGAAGCAGAAGCCGCCTTGCAGGTGCCGTGGCAGGGTTCTTCCCACTTCTCTCCTCCCACAGCCTCAAATAAAACCAGCGGGGGTGACAAGCCAGGCCCTGGGGACCCGGCCCCAGCCCTGCCCGGGATCCGCTCAGTTTGCCCTCTAGTCTCTGCATCGTTCCTACTATCCCTGCTAATTCTGGTTCCCAGGTCTTGGGGGTCTGTATCTTCAGCTTCTGTCACTGGGTCTGGGAGAGGATAGAGCATGAGCACAGGGAGCTCACAGTCTGGCACCCAGGGCCCGCTCGGTCCTTGGGAAATGTGTGAGTTCATATGTGTGTGTGTATGAGTGTTCGAATGTGTGCCGACATAAATTCTGATTCTAAGGCCACGCTGATAGGATCATCAAGAGCTACAGGTGGCTATTTCAATTAATAATTGAAAGGAATGAAAGTTAAGGAAAATCTGACATTTATTTATTCAGTGGCACTAGCTCCATACATTTCAAAGGGTCAATAGTCACATTTGCGTGGTGGTGACCACACTGGCCAGCACATGTATAGAACATGTAAACATTTCTCTCATCGCAGAAAGTTCAAGGGAACAGCTCTGTGGAGATGTGTAAAAGGAGTCATGAGAGTAGGGGCTGGGGGAGACTGTGTGTGTGTGTGTGTGTGTGTGTGTGTGTGTGTGTGCTGTCATGTATAAGATCAGAACTGATCTGATAACTGGGAGTGAAACCTGGTTAATCTTGCAAACAACAGACTCTCTCTCTGGAGCAATGATTTACCCACATCCACTTGGAACAGTTAGTGGCATCCTAATTTCAAATTTCAGTTTTCCTTCTTATCGGGATTTTGTTTGGTTTGGGGTCATCCCGGGAGCTAAGCATGTGTTGTTTTCCTGAATGTTGCCCCAAGCGCTTCTCTTCAAACGATCAGTTTTACGGATTTATAGGACCCAAAGAATCTTCCAGCATGTCTTCATTCGGCATCTTGATGCTTTCCTTCCTTGCCCCACCGTGGTTCTTGAGTTTCAGGCAAGGCTATGTCTCATTTTGTCTCATGCAGAAAGAAAACCTATGATGGTTTTATAGATTTCTCTGCTTCTATAGCAGGAGAGGGTAAAATCATTCCCTCAAATCTCTTTCATTATTTGCCAACTGTCCCTCTCCAAGAAAATCCTGATTCATGATAAACTGACATGCTACAGCACCTCATTATGCCTACACAGCCTGGCCCTGGAAGGGGAAAATGAGCAACCCCTGAGTTATTACCTGGAACGGTATAACCAGATTGACTGCTTCTCCAACTCTGCGGATATAGGTTTGCTTCAGGTGCCTCGGGACACGAATCTTGGGAGCCTCTGAGGGAGAGTAAAATAGCATCATTTTGCAATCAGCATAGTGATCTAGAAATAGCCTTAGGCGTGATGCTCACTGGCATATCCAGCGGTCATCATGTCTCTGCAATAAAATCTTAGCTGCGCCACTAACATTTCATGCGGTAACTTGGGTTCAAAATGTTTTCTTCAAGCAGAGATGGCTTGAAAATTCATCCCTTGTCTCCTTATTGCAACTTTGCATTTTTATGGTTTGTTATAAGCGTAAAGCAACTTTAGAGGGAAACCACTAAATGTTCTCTTAGGGCCTTAGACATGTTTCTTGCAGTTTTTAATGGCAAGTATATTTTCCAGCAAACATTGCACAAAAGATCTATGGGGACCACGTGAGCTGGTAGCTGCCTATTGGAGTCTGATGGTGACTTTTTGTCCTTGTGTGACAGGGGTGAAGTACACAAGGGGAAGGAAGCCCTGGTCCCTTGAGTATTAATACCCATTAAACACCCTGGAGATAGCAGAACATTTTGTTGCAAATCTATCAGGAACAGGAGGTCAAAGGCTCACAGGGGTGCTTCGTATGTGACAGACACTGGGCAAAAGGCGTTATTTACATGAGGAATTCCAACCTCAGAGCCGCTGTTTTTACTTCATGATAAGGAAACTGGAGCACAGGATGTTCAGTGCCTTGCCCAAAGTGACAGAGCCAGGATGAGAGCCTGGGGCGAGGCTCAGTGCTCTGGGGGGAACATACGGACCTGGCACAGCCAGAGATCTGACTTTGAGTCTCAGATCAGACTCTTAGATCTGGCCTCACTGTTCTCTTCTGTAAAATGGAGATGATAGAAACACACCTAGCTCTACTTCATAGAATCGCTGTGAGGATTAAATGAAATCATCCATGTAAAACATTTAGAATAATGGCTGAGAAGAGTGAGTGCCCAGCAAGCTTTAGGAGATGATGATGATGAGATGATGATGATGATAACTGAATGTTATGGTGGGAAGGGAACCAGGAGATGCTCTAATTCCCAACTCTACATACAAGAACACAGAGACCCAGTAAGGTCCCACATCAAATCAAAACATGATAATTATAAAAGCTAGCATATACTGAAGGCTTATTATAAGCATTCTGTTAAGCAACATGGATTAATGTATTCAATTTTCACAATCTCTTGATATATTAGGTATTATTATGATTCCTGTTTTGCAGATGCAGAAACTAAGGCTTAGAAAGATCAAGTTTTGACTTGGCACCTGTGGCTGAAGTGGCTAAGGTGCCAGCCACATACACCTAAGGTGGTGGGTTTGAATCCAGCCCAGGCCTGCCAAACAACAATGACGGCTGCAACAAAAAAATAGCTGGGCATTGTGGCGGGTGCCTGTGGTCCCAGCTACTTGTCTGGAGACTTGCTTGAGCCCAGGAGTTGGAGGTTGCTGTGAGCTGTGATGCCACAGCACTTTACTCAGGGGGATAGCTTGAGGCTCTGTCTCAAAAAAAAAAAACAAAAAGAAAGATCAAGTTTCTTGTCCAAAGTCACATAGCTAATAAATGATGGAAACAGAATTAAACCTATGCAAGGTGTCTCCAGAATCTAATGAGAACATGGGCATGCTTCGCACTTTCCTCCATCCATCCGTTCATCCATCTACCCACCTGTCTGTCGATTCCCTGATTTACTCACAAAAGGTTTCAGGAGGTGACACCCTAAGTCTGTGGCAAAACATGGTCCAGAACCCAGATACCCATGTCCTAAGTTCAATGTTCTTTCCCTTGTGGTTCTCAAACTTAGTGGTCTCATTATTCCATTATAGTCTTAAAAATTATCATGGACCCACAAAAGCTTTTGTTTATGTGGGTTGCATAAACCTATTGCTACATTAGAAATTAAAATGAAAGTTTTTAAAATATTCATTTACTTATTCATTTAAAGATAATAAATTACATTTTAATGAAAATAGCCATATTTTATATTAACGAAAATTTGTTGTGATTTTGACAAACCTCTTTAATGTCTGACTTGATAGAGGATTGGTGGATTATCATATTTTTCTGCCTTCAGAACAAATTTTGCAATTTATTTGCAAATATTACAATATTTTGTCTTGGTTAAGTCCATGAGGAAGGTCTGGTTTTGTCTAGATGGAGGCATATAAAATTTTCAGACATTATGACTATTTCTCATTCATTCTTTTTTTGTTTTGAGACAGAGCCCCAAGCTGTCCCCCAGGGTAGAGTGCTGTGGCGTCACAGCAACCTCCAACTCCTGAGCTCAAGTGAGTCTCCTCCCAAGTAACTGGGATTATAGGCGCCTGCCACAACGTGGGGCTATTTTTTGGTTGCAGCCATCATTGTTGTTTGGCGGGCTGGGCTGGATTCGAACCCGCCAGCTCAGGTGTATGTGGCTGGCACCTTAGCCGTTTGAGCCACAGGCGCCGAGCCATTCATTCTATTCTTAAAACGATGTGTTGCAGTTTCCAAAAAGTTAACTGCAATGTAAAATCTGTAATCATTTAGTATCCTTTTTCATAGTTTGTTACATTGAAATCTATTGGTCTACCCTACTTTTTGAATGTATCTTTTATCATGTATTGGTGATAGGGACAATATTGCTTCACTGAATTGTGAAGATCTTTTAAATATAATATATTTAATAATATCTGATCTTCTAAATATAATATGTTCCATTATTCAGCATGCCCACAAAGTTTGCAATTTTAAAATTGCACACTATTTTAAATTGCACACGAACTGTAGGACAATATAAACAACGACATTTGTTAATGTCACCAATCTACTTTATCCGAAAAACTTTTTAAGTATTGGAAAGCTGTCAAATCCATGGCAGTGGATACAAGTTTTCCAACATTCTGACTTTTGCTTGAAAGCTCAAATTTTCTCAAAAAATTTCTCAGTCGACAGTATTGTTTGCCTTGAAGTAACTGGCTCACTCCATTCATTTTATAGAAAACATCTGGATGCCAAGTTTGACACTCAGTCATCCGTTCAAGGCAAAATGGAACTTCTCAGGAGCAAAGTCACCAGTTCAACCTTCAGCCCAGGTATGTGGCGCCTTTCTGGGGGGTCACCCCATGCTGCAGTGTACAGTATAAGTGCTACCCACAGACTTCGAGTTTCATTGTCACATAAGTTAAGATAAAACATATACTCAAGGACCAAGATCTAATACAATTAATAATTTTCATGTTTTATCCAGAATATTCTAAGGCAAAACTGGTCCTTTGCTTTTGGTCGTGTACACGGTGGAGAGGAAGACAGGGGCGGCCAGCACGGTCCCGTGGTACTGACCTGATTCATGCTAAGACACTGGCAGTTTTACTCGCTTTCACTGTTACACCATCGGTGCAGATGTCAAAACATTCAAAGGGGCAAATAATAGATTGCTATTATTAGGAAGATAGTTTTGACCTGGCAGACCCATTAGAGGCACACGGCTGTGGTGGCAATCGTCTGCCCCGCTGAGTTAACACACTCTCTCTCTCCAGTGTGAGTTGGCCCCCCAGCTGGAGCAGGCTCCTGAAACCTGGGGAGGTTAACTGCTTGGTCCTCAGAGTACCAAGTTATAACGAAGGTGACCTCCCTCACTGCCTAAAGAGAGCTGTTTGGTTAATTTCTATCTCTCAGGAAGCATCAATTAAAAAATCAGAGGAGTTACAACAAAATAGGAGATTTTGGTGGGGGGGGTAAAAATAAAGGCAGATGATGTAACATGGAAGTTAAATTTTGAAAGCCTTGCCACCTACCTATGATTTCCTTCACGAGAATGGGCTGGGAGTAGTATTTGGGCTCGCTGGCACCGGCCGCGTTGATAGCCTTCACCCGCACAAAGATCTTTGAATCCATCGGCAGTCCAGTGATAGTGAACTTGGTCTTGTCGATCAGGTCCGTGTTTGCAGTTATCCAGTCCTCAGCTAAAGTCCATTAAAAATAAAAAAGAAAGAAAGAAAAGGGGGAGGAACAGTGTTTGGTGACAGAAATCATGCTTTTATTGTTAGCTCCTAATTAGTATTTTACCCATAATTGGGAGCAATCATGACTTTGGTCCGCACCCATATGACCCAGGTGAGCATTTCTCATATATTTAAATGAAAAATGGCCTCAAATGGCTAACATGAAACAACAGGGAGAATAAACTATCAGATCCCACTATTTCTGAAAAGTCTCCTATTCAGACCGACAGTATCCTGCATAATAATGACAGCTCCCCAAGAATTCTGCAGCAGTTTTATGCCAATTTGGTTTTATAATGATCGATGTAATCATGATGTACAGCCAGCTATATACGCTGAAGTTCAGAAAAACAGGAAAGCGATTTTTACGAATGAGAGACATTGGCCTTGATAGTGACATAGTCTCTCTGTTTTACCTTAGCTGGTTCGTTGTTGTGAGATATTCCTATGAGGATAATCCGATCCTATTCATTCACATCCATGAAGAAAGACAAGAAGCTCATAGCCACAAAAAGGAAGCACAGCTCACAAGCTGATACCTCACAAGGAGGTGGTAAGATTCTATCCCCTTAACCAAAAATCTAATTTTTTCAAAATTTTACCTTTTAGCTTTTGGTGCCTTTTTCTACAATATTAAGAGAATTTAAACTCAGCAGCCAACGCTTACAAATATTTCAGTTTCCAAATGTTAGAATACATTATGCCCACAGGACAAAAGAAGGCTTGGGTCCCACGTTATTAAGTCACTGTCGCCCCCTCCCACAAGCCCTCAGGGCCTGTGTGTGTGTGTGTGTGGTAGGCATACTTCATATACTTCATGCTTGGTCATGGAACATTCCAGAAACGTTATAATATAGTAAGAAAGCTGGAGAGCTTCACAGAATACTTTACCTGGTAGATCATACGCAGCCTCCCCATTTTCATCAGACTGTTTTGCTGATGTACCTTTGAGAATCCGTCATTAAAATTAATTAAAGACACCCACTTTCACACCAGAAGAATATCGTATCAGCAGTCAGCATTCTCTGTTAGTAAAGTATGCAAAGTGTGCAAAGAAATTTGTCTTCAGAGCAGTGAGAGAAGAGACCCAATGTGTTAGAGGGGTTCCTCAGGAGAGGCACGGCCTGCTTTGCGCAGACTGTGGTTTCGGTCCTGAGGCACCTGCCACAGAGAAGAGAAGGGAAAAGAAAAGAGAAGGGGAGGAGAGGGGAGGTTGGGCACCTCCAGCTGAGAGAAGAAGAGACAGAGAACAGAGCAAGATCCTGAAGAAAATGGAGGGGTGTGAGTCCTGGAATCCACGGGGAGCAGCGCACAGTGTAACAGTCTATCTTTGTTTCTATCCCAGCCACTCTAGCTTGGGAGGGTCCTCTCAGGTCCCCAGGAGACATGGTGCTTCCACGGTGGGGCTCCCTCCTCAGAGTCTGGGACTGTGGGCACTGTGATAAGGCCAGCCCTCTCTTACCAGGGTTCAAGTTCTGAGTGGGAAATGGCAGCTGCTCCAGCAGCTCAGGAGGCAGCCTTAGTTGCCATGACAATGAATCTGTGACAAGAAAACAAAGTGTGCCTTCCTGGGGCCCTTCAGGGACGGCTCACAGGGTGGTCCTGGGCATGCCCCACTGGTTTGGGATGATGACTTTCTTGGTGTCAGGAGAGGAGCAGGGGAATAAGGACAGGACTTCTGGTCCCTTGGAATCTTTGCCTCTCTCTTGTTCCAACCCTACCAGGAATATCCAGGGAAGAGGCAGAAAGCCACAATGTCCTGGCAGCTGGGAGGATGTATGGATGATAAAAATTACTAATGACTTTGAAGGAGAGACACATCATTAAGCACATAGTCTGTTTGGAACCTATAATATTGTTGTTTTCATAGTCAAGAGACAGTCGATGAGAACATGAAAATAGGATACTGAGAGAACATGTACAAAAGAGTGAAGAACTAGAGAAAGAGAAAGTTTTAAGAGAAAACAAGACGAAATAAGATCAGAGGGGAACACAAAAAATGGCTCATCTCTTCACATCGGAACCACTTTAATGGAGGAAAACGAAGACAAAGAACACGGTACCCCTGGGGATGGGGAAGGGAAATGTAAGTTATTTGAGAACATGAGGAGAATTTTTAAGAAAAGAAAGAAAAAAAACTTAGAGTAGAGGAAGAAAACGAAGAGTCAAATGCTGCAGGCATTAAAATAAAAAACCCAAAACCAAAACAAGAGAAAGTCAGAGTCCAAAACAACACACGATCTTATAAAAGAAAGAAGTCTCTTACAGGATAAAACCTGACACATCTAAAAGCATCAAACACTAGAGAAAATTAGTCTGGAAGACAGCAGCCATTAAAAGAGAATGAAGAAAATAGGCAGCCACATAAAGAAAATAAGGAAAGACTGCAAGAAGATATACACATTACGAGAGAACTTCCATAGAAAGCTGATTCCAAAATGTTATGTGACAAAATATGTACATGATAATGACTGTGTACATATACATATGTATACACACATATACATATGTATCTACACAGACCACACGCAATGTTATGTAAAATACACTTTATTGTATTTTATCTAAGGTGGGTAACATCAAAATGACAGCCATCTATCATTTTGCTGTATCTTCTTACTTTTTAAACCTATCAGAAAGAAAAGAGTAAAGAATTTGCTCTGTTTCATACATACACAAAAGGTCTGTGTTCAGCAGCCACTGACATATAAGATGGGGAAATTCTACTGGCGGGGCATTATAAAAAAACAGAGTGGATATTTTTTAAATAGGGGGAGAAATGGAATAGGAATAAAGTCTATTCTGCAGTGATCAAGAATTGTTACGTTAGTGATACCACCCCCCTCCCTTGCTGGGTTAACCCTGAGAACTTTCTTATAATGTTCATACTGGTTTGGGTTAGAGGCTTTTTAAAGCCTGGAAACATCAAGCATAGTATTTCATGAGTGGAGTTGTGTAAAAGAAATTCAGTGACACCAGGATCCCCCCGACCCTTCTCTCCAGACCCGCGATGATCTTTCCCATGGCTGCTCCATTCCAGGGGTCTGGGATTTCCTTTTAGTAGTTTCCTCTTCATGAAAAGTTTCTTCTCTATGGTGGTTTTCGTCTGGGGGAGGCATATTTGCATTCCTGATTTCCCAAACATGCTTGGTAATCTCCTTCCTTCACTTGGAGGATCCATGCTAAACTTTAGGGTCCAAAGAGTTTTCTGGGAGGTTATGTCTTGAGCTACGGATTGTGGCATATGAACAAGCTTCCTTGCTATTGTTTACCTACCGTAATCTAGATTGAAACCTGAGTCCAGAGCAGGGGCAGTTTTTATTCAACCATTTTCAAATGTCATCCCCTTCTAGTCATGGAAAATAGGAAACTAAGAAACACACAGAGGCTTTGGTGAATTTTATATTTTTTGTTTTTGTTTATGGGTACACTCTGGCCCATATTTTCTCATGTCACTTTTTTCTTCTAGTATTTCTATCAGTGATATTTTTGGCCTTGCTTCTCTTCCTCCCCTAAATTTAAATGATTAATTTTTTATATACCCAAGCCCTGATATAGGTGACTGCTGTATATTGAACCCATTTCTTACATCCTCTGGGATCTAATGCTACTTTCTTTAAAACTCTTAAAACTAAGAATTGCTTGGGTGGTGCCTGTGGCTCAGTGAGTAGGGCACCAGCCCTATATACTGAGGATGGAGGGTTCAAACCCGGCCCTGGCCAAACTGCAACAGCAACAAAAAACCCCTAAGAGTTGCTTTTAATTCTTCTTCTTAATTTTATTTTCCCTTAATAAGGCAGGAAATATATACCAGATAGCCATATATGAAGTCCCTTTTTATACCCATAATTGGCGGTTCTTTTGATAGCTAACTTCTGCTCAGTATAGGTTTTAGAATATCCAATTGGCTTCATCCTAACTAGACTTTTCTTTTCAATTCAATTTTCTTTACAATTCAATTCCACCAGTTCAAGAATTGGTGGTCCCTGAAGTTCTATCAGAGCCCTTTCCTCCTATGTCTTAGGTCAATGTCGTTGTCCAATATGGCAGCCTAGTCAGGATATTTTTGAGATCCCAGTTTAGTAGCATCAAGTACTAAAGAAGGACTAAATTTTTATATATCTCAGAAGGATGAAATTTGGCTTCATTGTTTTCAGCAGGGTGGAGATGAAGTCCCGAGAAAAAGAGATGAAAGAAAGGGGGGCATATCTCACCTATTGATGACAGTACTCATTTTATCTACTAGTTGTACTTACTTCCTTCAAAGCAATACTCTAGCACATAGCCATCTAAACCTGCTGCACCAATCTGGTCTGGGGGCCGCCACTTCATGGTGACAGTTGTGTCGGTGACAGAGTCAACGGTCAGAAGAGTAGGAGGGCTGGTTACAGCTTAAAGATGAAAGAGACAGAAAAAGAAGAAAAGATTAACTACAGAGTTACAGCACAGGAACGATGACAAAAGGAACTGGGTTGCAAATAAAAATAGACACAGAGCCCCACATCTTAATAAAATTCAATGAGGACTCTGTGGGTCTGTTTGTGTTCAAGAAAAAGATCTGATCAACCTGAGAATTTTGGAAATGCTCCCAGGCATTTCCTACAATTTGGGAGGTTATGTGGGAGGCTGGGAGATCCAAGGAAGTTGAAGAGGCTAAAGTTCAGAAACTAATGATCTGGAGTAAATTTCCTATAACTCTAATTTTGAAGTGTAAACTCTTGCACTAAATCTTCCTATTTAAAAAAATATAGTTTTGCATTCTTCCTTTCTTTCTTTGGGATGCGACGCCATTTTCTTTCCCTCCCATCTTCCCTTCTTTTACTCCCTGTTCTCTGCTTTCTCTTTCTCTCTTTCTCATCTCTCTTCCCCCACTCTCTTTTCTTTCTCTAATATAGAATAAACATATATTTTTATATTCTAAAAAAGAAAAGAAAAAAATACCTTACTACCATAAAATAGTGGAGATATCTCATCTTCTGTTTCTCTGCCTTCGCTGAACTTTTTGGTTTAATAGAGAAGGTTTAAGATGTGATTGTAAAGTGAAGGGACGAGTTTCCAAGTGTGGTTTATTGAACTGGTCTCAGAATTTTTTTTTTTTAATGGTATCCTTCAGAAATGAAGAACTGATCTCCATTTGTTTTAGTTATAATGTTTACACCTAGATGCTGAGTTAAACCTTAGAAGCACAAATATTACCCCAACCACTTCCAAATTCCTGCTTCACTCACTGCTCTAAGAAGCCTCCAGGCCTGTTCCAGTTAGAGGTCAGAGGAAAGCAGCCATAATCTGGGGCAATGGCAAAGACACATCTCTCTTGACTCACCCAAAGGAACAAAAGGTTTGGAGGGCATACTGGGCTTAGAGACACCGACAGCATTGACTGCGAAGATGCGGACCTCGTAGGCCACGCCTTCAATCATCTTCTTGGGCTCAAAAGTTGTTTCTTTGCAGAGTTCAAAATTCAGCCTCATCCACCTGGAGCTCTGTTTCTTTTTCCTTTCGATAAAGTATCCTACAGGTGCACAAAATGAAAACTGAGGTTTGTCCCTGGTCTCTGAAATTGAACTTTGTCAGATATTAGATGTCCTTAAAGATCTTGTATTTTCCCAGCACTCTAAGTGACCTAGTCAGACACATACATGTTTTTCAACCCCCCTTATTGCACCAGTTTGAGAAAGATTATAGAGAATAAGAGAGTAAAAATATTAACATCATAAAATATAGACAAAAAAGAGACAATAGGACTACAAAAAAACTAAAATTGTACTAGAAGGAGGAAAAAAATGGATGAGAAACATATAGGCTCAAGCAACTTAAGGCATAGTTGAGTAGCAGAGTCAGAGCCAACAGAACTGGTTCTTAGTCCCAGCAAGGAAGACAATAAGGAGGAAATGACCAGTTTCATGAGTCTCATAATTAGCTAGAAGAAAAAACTCTCATGCCATCACAGAAGCAAATTCTTTTAAGCATTTAACTCTTAAAAGAAATGTCTTCATAGACAGAACCCTGTGGAACTAGACATTCACTGACTAGAACTGTGGACATTAGGCTGATAGTGTTTCAAAATTACATATTAAGTGTAACTGTCAAGTGGAAAAAGAGAACAGGCAACAGAAGGTGATCTATAAAATGTGGCTCTACTGAGTGTTTCTTTCGTTGGCAGCCCTGAAAAGCTGAAACCACCAAGAGTTGGCAAACACTACTCTGAATCAGACACATCGGCGTGATTCTAGTGTTTGTTTACCCAGAGGACTTACCACAACTTTAATGCGATGATGTTCATCAGAGTTATTCACACTTCAAATAATTTACAGAGCATCCCCAAACACACATATTTCAATATAAATGGATATGTAAAGTCACAGTATAGTAGGTTTTCTCCCAAACGCGGTACTTTCTGCTAATCGTAAAGACTGATTAACACGTGGTTACCTAAGATTGGAGACCCTCCATCGTAGGCAGGAGGCTCCCAGTTCATGATGCACCAATCATCTCCCACCTCCGTCAGGTTTGGTGCCACTGGAGGATCAGGGATGTCTGTAGCAGACAAAAAAAAAAAGGGTAAAATGGAATAAAATAAATTAAATTAAATAAGGAAGTGAGTGTGCAAAAAAATGCTAATAAAAATATGGGTTTTGGTGATCATATAGAAGTTGCTTTTTCTTTTTCTTTTTGAGACAGAATCTCATTGTGTTGATGCTAGAGTGCCATGGCTCCTTGCCTCAGCCTTCCAAGTAGCTGGACTATAGTTGCCCACCACAGTGCCTGGGTAATTTTTCTATTTTTAGCAGAGATGGGGGTCTCGCTCTTGCTCAGGCTGATCTTGAACTCCTGAGCTCAAGGGATCCTTCTACCTCAGCTTCCCAGAGTGCTGGGATTATAAACGTGGGCCATTGCACCCAGCCAGAACTGTTACTGGTAAGCACTATTCCATGTTTCCTGGAACGTACTTAGCAGTTTGGGCAAAAAGGCATACTTGGTAAGGGATATGAGAAGGTGAGCCCAATAAAAATAAAAATACCAACGTCTCCAAATCCCTTCAGCTTGTATCACATTACAGAATAAACTCTAAGACTCTTTTTTTTTTTTACCTTGAAAAAGATAACTAAGAAATTATTGCCTTACCTTCCAGATAGGGGGGTGGTTGTTTTACTAACAAAGTGAGCTCCTAGCAGAACTGAATCAAGGACTAATTGTGGTAAGTTTCCTATCAGTTGGAAGAGTCAAGATGTTGGCAGAAATCCAAGTCAGAAATGGCAAGTTACTATGTCTTATAAACATAGTTCAGTGCCTGGTAAAGTGATTTTAGTTTTTGCTTAACTTGAAATATATCATTTAAACATGTCACTTAGGGGAAAACTAAAGTGAGAAGAGGAAAAAATGAGACCTTGGAAAACTAATAATCTGCCAGAGTAATTTTTACTTGGTTTCAGGCTTAAGAAAAACGTGCTTAGATAATTGTCTGAGGATCAAGCAGATCTTACTCTTCTATGATGATTGGGGGGGGGGGATATTAGTTAGCAATGGTGTTTCAGTGATATTGAAAGGGCCCTCAGGGAATATGACTATTGGATCCCATTTGGCTGATTTTACCTACTCATTACTCCAATGAGAGGGCCTGTAGTCAAGAAAAAAGACAAGAAAGAAAGAAAGAAGGAAGGAAAGGAAAGAGAAGGAAAGAAAAGGAAAGAGAAATGGCACAGGTAGGAAAAAAAAAAGGTGATTTATAAAATATAACTCTACTGAGTGTTTCTTTTGTTGGTAGCCCTGAAAAGCTGAGACAGCCAAGAGTTGGCCAACTCTGCTCTGAATCAGACATGCTAGCTTGATTCTGGTGGTTTATTTGCCTGGAGGACTTACCCACAACTTTAATCTTGATGCTCGCACGCGCTTCTCCAGCCTCATTTTTCAGATGTATGTTATAAACACCAGAATCATCTCTTTCCGCCACGTCAATGACCAGTGTGCTGCTATCGGGGTAAGATTCAGCCCTTATCCGGCCACTGCCCTCTGGAATAGCCTAAGGCGGAAAAAACCAAAATGTGGCATGATCTACATACACAATAGGGGCTTCTTTCGAGCACCTTACCACTTGAGATAGACACGGGAGTTAATGACTAGTACCCATTTTCTCAGTTTAACTCCCCCCCATCTCTGATGAGAGAGGCATTACTACACCACTTTACACAGGAGGAAGCTGAGACTTAACGTGCTCAAGGCCACATGGCTAAGAAGTAGCAAAACTAGGACTTGACCCCCAAAGCCTTAATCACCAACTCTCCCAAGAGAAAGTTGGAGGACTAAAAAAACATGGGCAGAAGTGTCACTCTCGAGGAGCCTCTTTGTGAAGGAAATTAGAAACACTCACACTTATATCAGAAACTAAACAACGATTTGTCCATTTCCTTAGATATGGTGAAAACGTGGAAATACCGAAAAGGCTGCAAGACTAATTTTCCACTCAAGTTACGGAACATTGGTTTTCCCCTTTCAGCAAAAAATGTGGACGAATAAACATCTAACTCCCAAAGTAAAGACGCAGTGAGATTGAGCCCCCTATTGTATTTTCTTCTTTTTCTATTTTTTACTTCTTCTTTCATAAACCTGAAATTTAAAGCAGCATTACATTTTTCCAATTCCCAGTTCATAAATCCTATATGACCATGAATAGCCAATATAAAAAGAAGAAAAAAAAATAGAGAAGGTCAAGGTAATTTAGAAACTGGATTATCTGCCACTAACTTTAAGTTAAATCTTTAGTGTCTATATGATCACTCCTAAGTCTTTAGTGGCATGAGATTGTGACAACAGTAAGAAGACCTGAAATCATTTTCCTAATTCATCTATTTTATAACAGAACAAAATTTCCTCCTATTAGCCAAATTCTAATGTAAGATTATAAAAGATGCTCTGCTTTGTCTTAAAGTGAAAAGAAAAACTACTTATTTAGGGTGGTATTGCACGATTCACTTTAGTTTCCTATATTTTGTCTTATTGGTTTGAGCGTTGTGCTGTTAAGTATGAAATGTCCAATTTTGAATCGAAAGTTTAGTTAATTGCATCTCAGACAAGAAGCAGTACAATTGACCAAAGTATGTGCCTAAACCATTGACAGGGTTTTGTCATCTTAATCGTTGCTTGTGTGTCTAGCAGCAAAGAGCCTGGAGAGCAAGTGGTGATGAAATCGAGAATGGCATCTTCCACAGCTTGTTGAGAACTGAATACTTTCCCTTGAAAGAAGGGGTCAAAAGCCTGGAAGAAGCAGTAGTCAGTTGGTGCAAGATCTGGTGTGAATACAGTGGATGACGGGGAGTTTCTAAGTTCAGCTTCTGTAGTTTGAGCAGCTTCTGTAGTTTGAGCTCCGTGGAACATAAACACATGTGTAGAGGGTTGTCTTGCAAGAGGTCTGGCCTGTCTCTATTGACCAGTCCTGGCTGCTTAATTGCAAGTATCCTCATCATTTCGTCCAATTGCTTGCAGTAAACATCTTCTATAATTGATGGATCAGGTTTCATGAAGCTGGACCACCAGACGCCATGAGCTTTTTTGGATAAATATTCAGTTTTGGACTGTGTTTCAACACTTCATCCTTATCCAGCCATCGTGCTGAATGCTTGTGATTCTCAAAAAGAATCCATTTTTCATCACAACACAGTGCAGAAATGGCTTGCCTTTATGTCATGACAACAAAAAAAGGCAAGTTTCCATATGAGTTTTCTTCTGACACTTGTTTAATACATGCAGAACCCACCTATCCTGCTTCTTTACCTTGCTGATTTGCTTCAAGTAGTCCAATATTATTGGAATAGTAACATCAAACCTTGCTGCTAATTCACGTGTAGGTTGAGATGGATGCATTTCCACCACTACAGCTTTCAGCTCATCATTACCCACCTTGGTATCAAGGTCATCCACGTGGCTCATTTTCGATATTAAAACACAAGAATGGAGTTTTTCAAACTGTGGATGTACCGTGCATTCATTAGCCACATCCTTCCCAAATGCTTCATTGATATTTCAAGCGGTCTGTGCTGCATTGGTTCCACGATGGAAGATGAAGTATATTCTCAGAGCCTCAGTTTCCAGTTAGCCATGTCATCATGATGGTAAACAACTGATCTTTTACAGCGTTCTATGTTACCAGATGACTTTGCCCAATTGTAGGCCAATGTAAGTGTTCTGAGCTTGTTTAAGTAACTTAGACTAAGCTAGGATGTTCAGGAAGTTAGATATATTAAATAGGTTTTGACTTACAATATTATATTTTCAATTTGTGATGGGTTTATTTGGTATAGACCCAGCATAAGTCAAGGAGCATTTATCTGTAGAAAAAATTTATAATAACACAGCTCCATTTTACCCTTCCCAATCCTTACTTCTATTCTCTCTTCCTGACCTTGTATTTTTTATAGTCATAAATTTTACATATATTATAAACCTTACAAGGCATTGCCATAATTTTTATTTAAACAGTCAATTTTCTTTTGAAGAGACTTAACTATTAAGAAAAAACTCTTAAACATTCAACCAGGTAGTTACCATTTCTGATGCTCTTTATTTCTTTGTGAAAATATGTCCACCTGGCATCATTTTCCTTCTAATTTTAAGGGCTCCCCTTAATATTTCTTGTAGTGCAAGGTGATAAACACTTTCAATTGTTTTATATCTTAAAACAATTTTACTTTGCCTTCATTTCTTAAAATTATTTATACTGAGTATAGAATTCTAGGTTGACAAGGATTCCCCCCCCTTCAGGACGTTAAAGACGTGGCTCCACTGTATTTTCACTTGCCATGTTTCCAGAGAAATCCGCGGTCATCTTTGCTTTGGTTCCTTTGTACTTCATGTGATCATTTTTCTTTCTGCTTTTCATTTTTTTTTCTTAATCACTGGTTTTGAGCAGTTTGATTATGATGAGTCTTGGGGTAGTTTTCTTAATGATGCTTGTGCTTGGAGTTGTTTTTACTTTTCTGTATATGTGAGTTTATAGTTTTTATTAAATTTGATAAAATATTCTTCTGTCCCTCACTCTGGGGACTCCAGTTCTAGCCTATCTTTGAGGACATACATTTGATTGCCTAAAGTTCTCCATTGCTCAGTAATATTCTTGGTCTCCCTCCCACCCTGAAAATGGAAGCAGAGGAAACATTCCCCAACTGTTTTTGTTCTAATAAATAAACTTTATTCTTTTGAGCAGTTTTAGGTTCATAGCAGGGTGTGAAATTTGTCGGCACAGAGTTGTTCATAATGTTCCCTTACTGGCCTCTTCATGTCTATGGGAACTGCAATAACTTATCATTTCCGATAAGTAGTTTTTTTCTCTCTCTCCTAGTTACCCTGCCTAGTGGGGGGCAGTTGTAGGGCTCACCTCATTTGCTTACCAGAGTCACTCTCCTTCACTACCTGATGTCCAATGTCTTGAAAACAACTGTTCATGTGCTTTGTTGGTTTGGAGGGCTTATTACAGGTGAGTGGGTAAATCTGGTTCCTGTTACTCAATTTGGGTTGAAAGGAAAAACCTCATGTCTGATTTTTATTTATTTTTTATTTTTTTTATTAAGTCACATACACACAGATCATATATACATTAAAGCATTTATGAGATACAATGTGCTGATTTTATATACAATTTGAAATGCTTAGATCAAATTAGTTAATATAAGGTTTTGCCTCATTTACTTAATTATTATGATAAGATATCTATATTCTGTACTTAATAGATTTGACATGTACCCTTGCAATATGCTCCAAAGGTGTGGTCCTCCCATTAAACATAAAACTTTTTTGTATAGGAACCTACAGGGTCACACTTGAACTTGCACCACCCTTAATTTCTTCACTCGTTTTGCCCCAGCCACGCTGACTTTCCTTCTGTTCCTCCAACAGATCAGGCTCATTGTCTCCCCCCTTGGCCTTTACATTGTATTACCTCTACCCGGAAATCTCTTCTTTGGAGAAGATAGCTGGTTTTGATCATCATGTAATGGTTTTCTTATTGCCCTTCACAAGAGGCTGCCCTTGACTATACAGTCAGTTTACCTTATCATTCCCTTGTATGCTCTTCCTAGCACTGCTTACAATCCAAAGTGATTTTGTTTATTTATTTATTTAATAATCCATTATCTATTTCTCTTCCATCTCCCCCCACCCTGACACCCACTGGAATAAAAGATGAAGCCTTGTTCACTGTATGTAAAACCATGCCTGGCTACATAGCTGGTAGTCAGAAATACGAAAAGTAAACAGATGATTATCAGTTTTGCCCGAAAACCAGTTATCTTTTCTTTCTCAAAGGAATTACATCTGTACTGCAGTCCTGAATATTTATCTGTCTTTTCCCTTTATCTGATTAATGGAATGCAAGGGATAGAGAGGGCAAGGTACAGGCACATATGCACGTGTGTGAGTACAACAAACCTTATCTGCTCTGCTCCAGATGGCTTTGGGAGGTGGTTCTCCAGAGATGGGGATCTCAAGCCGAAGTTTGTTTCCTGCAATCACTGTCACTGTATTGTCAGCATCAAGACCGTCCAGGATGATCTTAGGAGGATCTGGAATAGTAAGCAGGGCCTTTGTTGATAGATAGTCATTTATTTCTATGTGAATATTTGGGCAAGTGCTTGGCTTGGTAGTAATTGATATTTTATCTGGCCAAAGAGAATATAAGAGGGGTTGAAGCAATTGGTGTGTGGCACCTTACAAAACTATTTCACTGAAAGACCTAAGAGGAAACTATTAATCATTAGAAATTAATACTAATTGAGGTATTTTTTTCTTTCAATATCATAGTTTTGAATACATTACAATTCCACAGTATGCAAAGACAAGCAAGAATACAACTAGGTGAGGATTTTTTTTTTTATTTACTCACCAACAACATGAACTTTGGCAGACATAGGAGTATTGTAGGCATCAGGTGTGAATACATAGTCACCTTCATCTTCTGTGAGAGCACTGGATATCACTAACTTGTGGATTCTATGGGAACAAGAAAAACAGATCTCTAAGGCTCTGCAAAGATTTAGTTAACCTATGACCCAAACTGAAGAGACATTTTATCTGATTGTCTTGTGTAGTTCAGGAGAGACTGGGAGAGGGATCAGGAGAAGGAGGGAAGAAGAAGGAAGACTTGTAGCTTTAATGATCTTATTTATTGATCCAAATTAAATCTCAGGTTTGGATTACATGGAATTATCTCTGCAAATAACAATCAGCTTTTTATGTATTCAAGAGTCTTTTCTTCTTTTTTATTCATCTCAAAGCTTCAAAAAGGCTAAGTGGCATATATCAATACTACTATACTTTAAAGTTCAAGAGATCACCAAGAAAATCCTGATTTTTGTTTTATATGCCAAACTCTTAAGAGTAACAGTTCTTAACATTATTGGGGTTATGAACCAGTGAATATTGGGTGGACACTATGGATCCCCTTTTTGTACACACACAATTTTCCCACAGTTTCAGAGGAATTTGGTGGGCTCCCTGAAGTCCATTCATGATATCCTAAGTCCACAGATCCAAGGTTAAGATTCTTGCCTTAGATCTTTGCCAGATTCTAGGATACTATGGATTATGCCTCCCACTCGAAAAAAACGATTGTAGGAAGGTCATGTGATACTTTTTGGTGAGGGACAGTTAATCGATTTGACAAGGTCCTCAACTAGAATTCAAAATCCTTCCTCTAGCTTCAAGTTTAGATGGAAGAAAATGTCAGTGAGTTTTGAGTGGACAAAGCACCATAGTGTGAAGTGGAAACACGTATGAGGTGGACATACGGTACACTAGAAATCACAAATTCTTGCTGATTAGAAGCAAAGAAGCAGAAATAGGCCATCTCCCTACAGCTACTCTCCAAATATCCTCACCAGATACATAATTTAGAAAGCCGAGATGGACACGAACCCTTGCTTGTGAGTCACTGGGCTTGCTCACCTTCCCTTGTGATAAATCTTCACACGGTCACTCTCCTGAATAGGCAGGCCATTTTTCGTCCATTTTCCTGGTACATGTTCAGAGATTTCACACTTCAAGCAGATTTCTTTTCCAATATTTACAGTCTGATCCGTCAGAGGTGTCATAATCTTCAGAGGTTTCACTAGAGGAATGATAGACCATCACGAGTGCCAAACCCAAACTCTAGGCTGGCCAAGATGGTGGGTGGCATTTCACAACGGTACACTCGGTCCTGCCATAATGCTTGTTTTGAAAGTGAGAATCTGTACCGAGGCAACTGATTTCTTAGAGAACAACTTCACGTTTGATTGTGCGTGATTTCATTCCTTAAAAAAACTAAGTGAATGCAGAAAACTGCCATCCAACAGAACTGAGCCAGCTAGGGATGTGTGAAACGCACAGATGCACCCCTCAAACATCTATCAGCTACCTCAGTTAACTCGTGTCCTAGGTGCCACACCCACTAACGTCTGAGGTTACAACTGTCTGTCTGATTTCCAATAATCCTACTATTTCACAACAGCTCACAAGCTACATCACTTCCAGAGCCCCATTTTCACAAGCAAATTTCAGGTCTTTTTGAAGGTACGTGCTATATTTATAGTAGTAGCATTAACTACTTACCATGTGTAAAACTGTGCTATTGATTTCTGTTAGGCTCTTATCTTTTTTTGTTTTGACATGATGCTGACTAAATTCTTGAGTGTTGTGCTAATAATCCCATTTCCTCTATAAACCCTGTGCTTTTTTATTGCATAATTGTGCATAACATGCATTATAGAGGAACTGACTGTATTTGCTCTAAATGGATACAAAGATCAGATAAGGATCTGCCTATGGTTGAAAAACTTTTTGATGTTTAACTAAAATGGCCAAAGTTTCATGTACCATAAGGAGTGTACCGAGATTGCCTGAATAATCCAATGATTGATTATATGAAGCAAACTAAGAAAGAAGGAAACGGGATTTCTGCTTTGTTTGTATTACCAATTGTCTTGAGCTATTTGCTGTCTTAATTTTCATGGCCAACAGGGAGAGCTTCTGCTATGGAGAACTGACTGCTACTTGAGGGCATGTGAGGCTGTACATTATACTGTGAAAGCCTATTAACAAATTAGTTCGTTCCAACTACTCAACTGAGCCCGTTTGGTTTGAATAACTTTCTTCTTGACCCCAAATGTTAATTTCAGAGAATTGGGTGTATATTTATTTAGTGATGAGATAGCAAAAACTATCAGGAATTACCATCTATTTATATGGTTTGGGGATTATATGAGTAACTTTTCTGGCAGGTGATTTTTATACTTCCTCCCCAATATTGATGCTCTACTATTAAACTGAGCAGTAGATTCCTTTCTTAGAGACCCAGCTGACATAGACACTCAGCTAGGAAGAAATCCATTTAATATACTTAAGGTCACCACGAATAGAAATCAAATATATCAAATACTAAATACTGTCTTGAAACTGGATGAACGAACACAGCCCCCTGAGTCGGCCGACTTGGAAGAGATCTGAAGTCGTCTTACTTACAGTCCACACTAAGCTTAGCAGAAGACTGTCCTCCCGTCGTCATCACCGAGTATTCTGCCGAGTCAGCTTTTGTCGCTCCTTCAATGATCAGAAAGTGTTTTTTGCCCTCACATCTAATTCGGTATCTTGATTTTGGCCCAGGGATGATCTCTTCGCCATTCTTAAACCTGAGTTAACATGAATCACAAGAGAGTTTTTTCTCTTTTTTGAGATAGAGTCTCACTTTATCGCTCTCAGTAGAGTGCTGTAGCATCACAGCTCACAGCAACCTCCAACTCCTGGGCTTAGGCCATTCTCTTGCCTCAGCCTCCCGAGTAGCTGGGACTACAGGCACCCGCCAGAACGCCTGGGTATTTTTTTGTTGCAGTTTGGCCGGGTTCAGGTTCGAACCCGCCACCCTCAGTACATGAGGTCAGCGCCCTACCCACTGAGCCACAGGCACTGCCTAGTTGGTAATTCTTAATGTTAAATATTTTTCTGAGCTACTGTAACAATAAAGTGACTAGGATTACAAGAAAAATATATAAATATGTTTTTCCATGTAAGTTGCCAGGATGGCATAATGAGAAGAGGCATGCTATAGGGTGTGAAGTCAAACAGACCAGAGTAAACCTGCTAAATTCGTTAGCAATTGCCTACTTCCCTATATGCTTACCCATATAAATTTCTGGATCTTTTCTTAGTCATCAGTGGAAAATTCCCAGTATCTTAGTATAATTTTGTTATCACCTCTACTAAAACACAAGTAAGATTGAGATTCTTTTTATATGCTTAGAAGTCCTTTGTACTCCTTCTGTATCTCTATAAAGATACATTTTTTTTTTTTTTGTCTATGAAAAGTGGACAGACCAGCTGGGCGCCCGTAGGTCAGTGGGTAGGGTACTGGCCTCATACACTGAGGCTGGAGGGTTCAAGCCTGGCCCAGGCCTGCTAAACAACAATGACACCTGCAACCAAAAAAATAGCCAGGTGTTGCTGTGGGACCTGGAGTTCCAGCTACTCGGGAGGCTGAGGCAAGAGAATCACTTAAGCCCAAGAGTTTAAGGTTGCTGTGAGCTGTGATACCACAGCACTCTACTGAGGGTGACATAGACTCTGTCTCAAAAAAAAAAAAAAACAAAGAAAGAAATGAAAAAGAGAAATGGACAGACCTTAGGAAGGCTACTTACCATTTTACATTGGCATCGTCTTCAGACACTTCACATTCTAATTCCACTCTCTCCCCACAATAAGCATTTGTATCTTCCAGCTGTTTGGTCACCATAATTGGAGGCTCTAGCATGAAAGAGCGGCACGTAAGAATCACTGAATATTGCAAAGCCTGTCCCATGAGTCCTGACTTATTCACAGATGAAATCCTGAAATGCCAACATCTAGGAAGCATCATCTGTGGTTCTCAGAATAGTAGAGAGTCGGTGGGGGGGCGGTTATTGTTTTTGTTGTTTTCTAAAGTCTGTTCTTGGCTAAGTAAATAACTGAGAACGCTGGGTACATTCTTCCAATTTCTCTCACAACTCTCCAAATCAAATAAATTGTTGTTCTAGAGAGTTCTAAAACATGTATCAAATATCCATCTTTTAGCAAATGAGATACCAGGTGGTAGACATTTCTGACAAGGAAGAATGTTTGATGCTCAGATTCTTTGATTCTGGTTCTGGATGAAGGATAGAGATTTCGGAGCTCACGTTTCTCATACAGAAAATAATTGAGCTGTGGCTTCACACACACCCTCCCGGCTCTTTTCCCAATGTCTTAGTAAAAGGTGGTCTTTTTTTTTTTTTTTTTTTGAGACGGAGC